ATGGTGGCTTACTGCAACCTCTGCTTCCCGGGTTGGAGCAATTCTTACACCTCACCCTCTTGAGTAGCTGGGATTGCAGATGTGCACCACCACACCCAGCGAATTATTGTATTTTTAGTAGAGATGGGGTTTTGCCATGTCGCCCAGGTTGGTCTCGAACTCCTGACCTGAAGTGATCTGCCCACCTTGGCCTCCCAAAGTGCTGGGATTATAGGCCTGAGCCACCACACCAAGCTTTATTGTTAAATAGTATTCCTCTTACTGATGTTTTGGAGTTTTGTTTATTCATTCTCCTGTGGATGATCATGTAGTAGTTTCCAGGTTTTGACTATTATGAACAGATTTATAAGAAACTGCCAGATATGCTTCCAAATTGAGTATACCATTTTACACTCTATCAGCCATATATGAGAGTTCTGATAGCTTCACATCCTTGCTGTCAAGGGCTTGCATAGTGGTATTTCATTGTGTGTGTGTGTGTGTGTGTGTGTGTTTCTCTTGTTTAAAATATGGAACGCTTCACAAATTTGCGTGTCGTCCTTGCACAGGGGCCATGCTAATCTTCCGTGTATCATTCCAATTTTTAGTATACGTGCTGCCGAAGCGAGCACGTGTATGTTTTTTATTTTCTAGAGATTTCAGATGGTTTGAATCATTGTGGTTTTAATATCCCTAATAACTAATAATGGTGTCTCTTTTTCTATTTGCTTATTGACCATTTGTGTATTTTATTTTGGGAAGTGTCTAAATTTTTTATCCCTTTTTTCGGGGGGTTGAATTTTTGACTTTTTATTACTGTGTAGTAGAAGTTCTTTTTATATTTTGAATTTGTCAGTTATATGTTATGTAAAAATTTTCTCCTGCCCTCTTACATGACTGTTCACTTTTTAATTGCATTTTTGATGAAATAATGTCTATTAAACTTTTCCTTTATACTTAATTGCTTCCTGTGTCCTCTCTAAGTTACCTTTGCCCACCCTGAAATAGCAAAGATTTTTTCGTATATTTTGTTATGGAAGCTTTATCATTTTGCCTTTTATATTAATGTCTGTGATTCATCTCAAATTCTTTGATTTTTTTTCTTCTTCCCATGGGGGGCACAACATTGGAATGTATGTTTGTTTTTTTTTGGCAGACGGGGTGTTGCTCTGATGCCCAGGTTGGAGTGCAGTGGCTATTCATAGGTGCAGTCATAGCTCACTGTGGCCTCAAATTCCTGGCCTCAAGCAGTTCTCCCGTCTCAGCCTCCCAAGTAGCTGGACTATAGGCGTGTACCACTATAGTCCCAGCAGGTTAATTTTTATGTATGGTGAGAAGTAAAGGGTGAGGTTCATTTTTTTCCATGTGGCTATCTAGTTGTTCCAGTACCATTTATTGAAAAGACTTCCCTTTCCCTCTTTGAGTGCTTGGCACTTTTGCCAAAAACCAAATGGCAGTATGAGTCACTTGTATGAATAGTAGGTCTATTTCTGAATATCATTTTATTGTGTTGATATACTTGTCTGTATACTAAATTATACTGTCTGCTGGGCATGGTGGCGCATGCCTGTAAATCCCAGCACTCTGGGAGGCCAAGATGGGAGGATCACATGAGACCAGGAGTTTGAGACCAACCTGGGCAACACAGTGAGACCCTGTCTCTATTTCTTTATTAAATTTTTTTTGTAAAATAATTTATATAAATAAATTCACGTCGTGATTATTATATCTTTATCATAAGTCATGAAATCAGATATTGCAAGGTCTTCTACTTTTTTTCAAGACATTCTAGGTCCTTTGCATATTCTAGGTATTTTTTATTTTTCTGAGACAGGGTCTCAAGGCTGGAGTACAGTGGCATTGATCACGGCTCACTGCAGGCTTGACCTGGACTCAAGCAATTCTCTCATCTCCGCCTCCACAGTAGCTGAGACTACAGATGGTCACTCCCACATCTGGCTAATTTTTTGTATGTTTTGTAGAGACAAGGTTTTGCCATGTTGTCCAGGCTGGTCTTGAACTCCTAGACTCAAGCAGTTGGCCTACCTCAACCTCCCAAAATACTGGGCTTATAGGCGTGAGCCACCGCGCCTGGCCTCATGTGTATTTAGAATCAGTTTACCAGTTTATACAAAAAAAGATAAAACTGGTAGGAATATACATCAACTTGGGAAAAATTGACATTTTTACAATATTAAGTCTTCTAATTAATAAATATGACACATCTGTATTTAGGTCTTTATCTCTGCAACATTGTATTGTTTTCAGTGTACAGATTTTGCACATTTTTCTTTAAATGTATTCCTAAATATTTTATGTTCTTTGATGCTATTGTAAATGAAATTAAGAATTTTTTAGAAGTTTCAATTGCTGCTAAGTACAACTCATTTTTGTTTTTGACCTTATGCCCGCTGTTTGGTTAAATTGCTGTGTCAGTGTATCAGTTGTTTTGTAGATTCCTTAAGACTTTCTACATAGACAATCATGGTATCTGAGTACACACAGTTTTATTTCTTCCTTTCAAACCCTTAAGCCTTCTATTTCTTGCAAATATTGCACTGGATAGTACCTCCAGTATGCTATTGAATAGAAGTGTTAAAGTGAATATCTTTGTCTTGTTCCTGCTCTTAGAGGATAAGTTTTTAATATTTTAACAATAAGTTTGATGCTGGCTATAGGTGTTTTGTGTATGCCTTTTTTTCTTTTTCTTTTTCTTCTTTTTTTGTTGAGACAGAGTCTTGCTCTGTCGCCCAGGCTGGAGTGCAATGGCGCGATCTCGGCTCACTGCAACCTCTGCCTTCTGGGTTCAAGCAATTCTCCGGTCTCAGCCTATTGAGTAGCTGGGATTACAGACACGCGCCACCACACCCAGCTAACTTCTGTATTTTTAGTAGAGACGGGGTTTCACCATGTTAGTCAGGTTGCTCTTGAAATCCTGACCTCATGATCTGCCTGCCTTGACCTCCCAAAGTCCTGGGATTACAGGCGTGAGCCACCGTGCCTGGCCTTTCGTATGAGTTTTATCAAATAGAAGTTACATTCTATTTCTAATTCTCTGAGAGTTATTAAAATGAATGGGTATTTCATTTTGTCAAATGCTTTTTCTGCATCTTTAAAAATTATTGGCTGGGCTACGCCTGTAATCCCAGCACTTTGGTAGGCCAAGGCAGGTGGATCACTTGAGATCACGACAAGACCAGTCTGGCCAACATGGCGAAATCCTGTCTCTACCAAAAATACAAAAATTAGCTGGACCTGGTGGTAAGTACCTGTAAACCCAGCTAGTTGGGAGGCTGAGGCAGGAGAATCCCTTGAACCTGGGAGGCGGAGGTTGCGGTGAGCTGAAATCACTCCACTGCACTCTAGCCTGGGTGACGGAGCAAGACTCCGTCAAAAAAAAAAAATATATATATATATATATATAATGGTTTTTCTCCTTTATTCTGTTAATACAGTGTATTATATTGATTTATTTAATCACTTTTTGTGTGTGGATAAACAGAGTCTCCCTCTGTCGCCCAGTCTGTAGTGCAGTGGTACAATCTCAGCTCACGGCAACCTCTGCCTCCCAGGTTCAAGCAATTCTGCTGCCTCAGCCTCCCGAATAGCTGGGATTACTGGCGCTCACCACCATGCCTGGCCAATTTTTGTATTTTTAGTAGAGACAGGGTTTTGCCATGTTGGACAGGCTTTTCTTTAGCTCCTGACCTCAAGCTATCTGCCTGCCTCAGCCTCCCAAAGAAAGTGCTGGGATTACAGGTGTGAACCACTGCAACTGGCCCATTGATTTATTTTCAAATGTTCAACCAACCTTTCATTGGTGAGATAAACCAAACATGGACAACACATATTGTTTTTATATATTGCCAAATTCAATTTGCTAATGTTTTGTTAAGGACTTTGTGTTTGTTTTGTTTGTTTTTTGAGTGGAGTCTTGCTTTGTTGCCCAGGCTGGAATGTAGTGATAATGATTCTAGCTCACTGGAGCCTCAAACTTGTGGCCTCGAGTGATCCTCTTACCTTAGCCTCCTAAGTAACCGGGACTGTAGGTACATGCCCCCATGCCTGGCTAATTTTTTTAAAAAAATTGTGGATACAGGGTCTTACTATGTTGTCTAGGTTGATCTTGAAGTCCTGGCCACAAGCGATCTTCCTGCCTCGGCCTCCCTAAATGCTGAGATTACAGGCATGAGCCACCGTGCCTGGCCCTTTGTCTGTGTTTATTGAGGAACGTTGTTGTGTGTATTTTTAATTTTTAAAATTTAGTTATATCAGTTACTTAGGCCAGAGGGATGTTAAAATCTCTATGACTATAGTTGTTTTCTTTTTTGTTTTCAAGACAGGGTGTTGCTCTGCCACCTAGGCTAGAGTATAGTGGCACAGTCGTGGCTCTCTGCAACCTCAACCTGGGTTCACACAATTCTCCCACCTCAGCCTCCTGAGAAGCTAGGACTACAGTTGTGCACTACAACACCTGGCTAGTTTTTGTATTTTTTGTAGAGATGGAGTTTCACCATGTGGCCCAAGCTGGTCTTGAACTCCTGGGTTCAAGCAGTCTGCTTGCCTCAAACTTCCAAAGTGCTTGGATTACAGTCATGAGCCACTACGCCCAGCCACTTTTTTTTTTCTTTTAATTCAGTCAATTTTTGTTTCTTATATTTTGATATTGAATTGTTAGATACACATGCATTTATGATTGTTATTGTAGGGGAGGGGAAAATGGTTTCTTTTCACCCTTCTAAATAATTTATTTGGCTGGGTCATTAATTAAATTGACCTGAGACAGATTAACAGGTGAAAAGAACATTTTAATTATGTTTACATGCATGTATACATAAAGTCCCACAAAAATATGCGGTTAAAGGGCCAGATGATTGACACTTATGTAGTAGCTTGAGCTACAGAAAGGAAGAGAGGCTTGGGATTTCTAGGCAGTGGTAGAAACAAATTAGGGGCGAGTGAGGGGAAGAAACATGTAGTAAATAAAAATTGCCTTGCTGTGTAGGTTAAAATATCTGTGATTGTCCTGGCCTCTGTTTTTTCTACTCCCCTCTGTTTTTTTGGCCCCTGCTGTGCTCAGTTGTAAAAAGGTAGTATGGCAGTACACACAGCAGTCTCCTTCAGTTTAGGAGGGCTGTCTTTAGAATAGAGCTGTCTTTTAAAGGCACAAGAGTACAGTTTTTTAAATGTTTTTCAGGTGAGAAGTGGTCTTGGAGCAGCTCTCTTCTTGGGAGACTTACTTTTGCTGATGAAAATTCTTTTAGAGATGGCAGATTTTCTTTTTTTTTTTCTTTGAGATGGAGTCTTGCTCCGTTGCCCAGGCTGAAGTGCAGTGGCACAGTCTCGGCTCACTGCAACTTCTGCCCCCAAGTAGCTGGGATTACAGGTGCCTGCCACTACGCCTGGCTAATTTCTGTATTTTTTTAGTAGAGACTCGGTTTCACCTTGTTGGTCAGGCTGGTCTCAAACTCCTGACCTCAGGTGATCCACCCACTTTGGCCTCCCAAAGTACTGGGATTACAGGCATGAGCCACCTCACCTGGCCTTGAGATGGCAGATTTTCTTTATAGAAGGGAAAGTTTTCAGAGCTACTCCTATATTTACAGTTTCTCAAAGTATTCATCTTGAAATAATTAATATGTCAAAGGGGTATATTTTGGAATGTCATATTCTGGTCTCCTAAAGTTGTATTTTGAATACACCTATTATGTACCCACAAAAATTAAAAATTAAAAAAAATTGTTTTAAGTTGTATTTTGGGGTGGAGTGCCTTGAGCCCCAACATTAAACATTATATATTACTGATAAATTGGCTATTTTGTCATTATGAAATGTCCTTCTTTATCTTAGTCATACTCTATATTACAGTTTACTTTATGTGATATTGCTGTAGACATTGAAGTTGTCTTGTACTTGCTTTTTACATGGTATATGTTTTTCAGTTCTTTCCCCTTCAGCCTGTGTTTATGTATGTTTTATACACAGCCCATAATTAGGTCCTCTTCAGTGGCTTAGGCCTGTAATCCCACCTCTTTGGGAGGCCAAGGCGGGCAGATCACCTGGGGTCAAGAGTTCAAGACCAGTCTGGCGAACATGGCGAAACCTTGTCTCTACTAAAAATAAATTTAAAAAAAAACTAGCTAGGTGTGGTGACACATGCCTGTAGTCCCAGCTACTTGGGGAGGCTGAGGCAGGAGAAACACTTAAATCCCGGAGGCCGAGGTTGCAGTGAACCAATACTGCACTACTGCACTCTAGCTTGGGTGACTCTATTTAAAAAAAAAAAAAATTGGGTCCTCTTAATCTAGTCTGATAAATTGACTTTTAATTAGAGCCTTTAGTCCATTTACATTTAATGTAATAATTGATTGGATTGGATTTAAGTGTATACGTTTACTACGTAAATTGAAAATTAATTGAGCCAGGCACAGTGGCTCACACCTGTAATGCCAGCACTTTGAGAGGCGGAGGCAGATGGATCACCTGAGTTCAGGAGTTTGTGATCAGTCTGGCCAACATGGCAAAAACCTGTCTCTACTAAAAATACAAAAATTAGCCAGGCGTGGTAGTAGGTGCCAGTAATTCCAGCTACTTGGGAGGCTGAGGCAGGAGAATCGCTTGAACCTAGGAGGCAGAGGTTGCAGAGAGCTGCGATTTCATCATTGCACTCCAGCCTGGGGGGACAAGAGCGAAACTCCATCTCAAAAAGGAAAAAAAAAGAAAAGAAAATTAATTGGATGTTCTTTAGAATTCCATTTTAGTTTGGTCATCATCTTCTTTCCCCATCTGCTTCTCTAATTTACTGGCAACGTGCATCATAAAAAAGGACTACGTGCCAGCTGATTCAGAAAGATTTATAATTTTCTTGGATAACGTAGAATTTTTTAGAGTTGTAATTGTCAAAACTTAGAATTGTCTATTAGTTTTTTTTGTTTGTTTGTTTTTTTGAGATGGAGTTTCGCTCATGTTACCCAGGCTGGAGTGCAATGGCGCAATCTCGGCTCACTGCAACCTCAGCCTCCTGGGTTCAAGAGATTCTCCTGTCTCAGCCTCCTCAGTAGGTGTGATTCCAGGCACCCACCACTATGCCTGACTAATTGTTGGTATTTGTAGTACAGATGGGGTTTCACCATGTTGGCCAGGCTGGTCTTGAATTCCTGACCTCAGGTGATCCACCCGCCTTGGCCTCCCTAAGTGCTGGGATTACAGGCATGAGCCACTGTGCCTGACCATCTCATAGTATTTTTTTAAAAATCAACTTCTTTGAGATATAATTTGTATACAAAAACATGTCTATATTTTGATGAGTTTTGACACATTAATTATGTATGTAAACACTAACACAATCAAGGACACATAGCTATTGCTCTACAGTGCTCCCTGTATTCATTTTCAGTCACTGTTCTCTCATTCTGCCGTTCCTAAGTAAACACTGAGCTGTGTCTGTCACTATTACGCTTATCTTTTCTAAAGATTTTGGCTTCTAACTTTTCTAAAGATTTGTGGCCTTTTTTACTCAGTATATTTTTGAGATTCATCCATGAGGTGGTGGTTATCAATAGTTTATTCTTTTTTCCATTGAGTTAATATTCCACAGTTCATTTACCCAGTTAAAGGTGTTGTAATATAATTATGGCTCCTGTTGTTTCTGATGAGAAGTCAGTGACAATTCATATTCTTGTTCCCTCTGTGTATTGTGTCATTTCTTTCTGTAGTTTATTTCAAGATTTTCTTCTTATCTTCAGTTTTCAGCAGTTTGACTTTGATTTGCTCGCTTGCTGTTTTCTTCGCATTTTTCCTGTTTGGAGTTTTCTGAGTTTCTTGATCTGTGAAGTTACATCTTTCACCAAACTTGTGAAATTTTATTTAGTTTTTTAAAAATTTGAAATAAGGTCTCACTCTGTCACCCAGGCTGGAGTGCACAATCTTGACTCACTGCAACCTCAGCCTTCCAGGCTTAAACGATCTTCCCACTTCAGCCTCCCAAGTAGCTAGGACCACAGGCATGCGCCACCATGTCTGGCTAATTTTTGTATTTTTTGCAGATATGAGGGTTCGACACATTGCCTAGGCTGGTCTCGAATTCCTGGGCTCAAGTGATTTGCCCATGTTGGCCTCCCAAAGTGCTGGGATTACAGGTGTGAGCCACCACCCCTGGTCCAATTAGTGAAATTTTCTGACATAATTTTCAGAAATTTTTTCTGCCCTGTTCCCTCTTTTCCTTCGGGGACTCCACTCTCACATGAGTTAGACCTTTTGATATTGTCTGACAGCTCACTGAGGCTCTCTTCATTTCTTACTAATTTTTTTTTTACTCTATTTTTCATATTAAGTAATTTCTTTTTTTTTAAAGACAGAGTCTCGCTTCTTTGCCCAAGCTGGAGTGCAATAGCACTATCTTGGCTCACTGCCAGTCTGCCTCCTGGGTTCAAGCAATTCTCCTGCCTCATCCTCCCAAGTAGCAGGGATTACAGGCATATGCCAGCATGCCCAGCTAATTTTTGTATTTTTAGTAGAGACAGGGTTTCACCATGTTGGCCAGGCTGGTTTTGAACTCCTGATCTCAAGTGATTTGCCCACCTCAGCCTCCCAAAGTGCTGGGATTATAGGCGTGAGCCACTGCCCCCGGCCATATTGGATAATTTCTATTGATGTGACTTTAAGTTCACTTGCTGTTCTATATCATTTCCATTCCACTATTAAGCCCATGCAGTGAATTTCATATTTTCAGTTCGTCATTTCAATTCTGTTTCTTTGCTATAATCCCAGCACTTTGGGAGGCTGAGGCAGGAGGATTCCTTGAGCCAGGAATTTGAAACTAGCCTAGGCAACATAGTGAGACCCTGTCTCTACAAAAGGAAAAATAAAATAATTAGGTGGGTGTCATGGCACACACCTGTACTTCCAGCTACCAGAAGGCTGAGGTGGGAGAATTACTTGAGTCCAGGAGTCTGAAGCTTCAGTGAGCCGTGATTGTGCCACTGCACTCCAGCCCAGCAAGACCCGACTCAAAACAAGAAAACAAATTATAAAAATAACAAACGAAGAAATAGAAATAATTAACATTTTCTAATGGTCAGATCCTCTCTAGTTTATTCTTTGTCTGTTTGTTACTCTTTAGTGCTCCAGGTAGATATGTTTTTACTTTTTTATTTTTTGAGACAGAGTCTTGCTGTGTCTCCCAGGCTGGAGTACAGTGTCATGATCTCAGCTCACTGCAGCCTCCACCTCCCAGGTTAAAGTGATTGTCCCACCTCAGCCTCCTGAGAAGCCTGGACCTCAAGTGCACTATCACACCTGACTAACTTTTGTATTTTTAGTAGAGACAGGGTTTCACCATGTTGGTCAGGCTGGTCTTGAACTCCTAACCTCAAGTGATATACCCGCCTTGGCCTCCCAAAGTGCTGATATTCCAGGCATGTGCCACTGCACCTCACCACTTTTTCACTTTAGTTTAGAATTTAGATTTTTTTGTTTTTTTTTATTTTCGAGTTTGGATCTCCCTCTGTTGCCCAGGGTGGTGTTCTGTGGCTCAATCTCGGCTCACTGCAGCCTCCACCTCCCAGGCTCAAATGATCCTCCCACCGCAGCCTCCCAACTAGCTGGGACTACAGGTATGCACCACCACACCTGGCTAATTTTTGTATTTTTTGTAGTGACAAGGTTTCACCATGTTGCCCAAACTGGTCTCCATCTTTTGGGCTCAAGCCATCTGCCTGCTCTTACCTCCCAAAGTGCTGGGATTACAGGTGTGAGCCACTGTGCCTGGGTAGAATTTAGATTTTTTTTAATCTGCAGGATGGTTGGTCTGTTAGGAGTAACTGTGTTTATTAGAAGAAGATCTCTGGCTGCTTACATTAGATGGGCCAAAGAACAGATAAACTGGTGTCAGGGAGACTATTAGAGTGCCAGTGAGATGAAGCGAGAGCCTTATTCAAGTAGCAAAGGAACAGAAAGGAAAGGCTTTCTGAGGTAGGATTGATGAGATTTGTTAACTGCTTAGAGGTAGAAGCTGTGGGAGAAGTGGAATAATGGCAGTGAGATGTCTGGGATGACAGAATTGGTGAATATAGGAGGTGAAGCAGTTTAGGGCAGTAGTCTTGGGAGCAGAGATTATAAATTTGATTTTTAACTCAGCTTTATGAAGGTATGCTTTATATATAATAAAATTCAAATGAT